AAAAAAAAAAAAAAAAAAAAAAAAGAGGCTCGGAAGTACTGGTGGTTTAATGAGCAGCAGGTTACCCCGATCAACAAACATATGGTGAAGACCATGGTGTACAGCAGCAGCTCGTCATTCAACTACCTCTCTCTAAGAGGCCATCAGGAGATCACACCTCTACAACATGAATGTCTTGCGCATTCCGATTCTTCTGGCAGCCGTTGTGGCAAATGGGGTTGTCATCATCAGCATCTCCCAATTCGTGAGAGATATCCCCGTTGCGTCCGATGCAGATATGGCACCGTGCATTGACAAACATCATCATGATCAAGAACATGGAGTGATTGATTGCCTCCGATAGATGATCTATCTTGCTAGATTGTGCACAGCGATGCCAGGAAGGCGGGGGGTGCCTTGACGGAATCCCATGAACAAGAACATGGAGGGATCGACTGCCTGGGATTGATGACTTGCTAGATTGAACATGCACAACAATGCAAGGCATTATCGAACATTGATCTCAAGACTGGCTTTTCAAGTCAACAAAAGTTTAAAACACTGTTGACTTTTCAAGTCAACAAAAGTTCAAAACACTGTTGACTTTTCTTGCAAGTCAACAAAAGTTCAAAACACTGTCGACTTTTCAAGTCAACAAAAGTTCAAAACACTGTTGACCTTTCAAGTCAACAAAAGTTCAAAACATTGTTGACTTTGCAAGTCAATTGTCCCCATTCATTTACAGGCCTAGCACGAGGATTGTTTTTGGGAAACTGTTTGTGACCAATTTCGTTTGGCTTTTCAAAACTGCGAAAACAACAGTCAAAAGGAATTTAAGAAAGCATTTTATAACGGAAAGATGGGGAACAACGGATATGACAAAGTTCGCACAGAGATGGCTGGTGTCCACAAACCACACGGATATAGGTACCTTTATTATATCCTTTATATGTCATAATCTTTGGTGCAATTGCACTGGAGCAATGAACGGGCACATGCTTTTCTTCGCTGTACTAACTAATTTGCATGGCATTGGCAACAGCAAGGAAATCAAATTCTTGGTGGAAATCATCAACTTTATAATGTGTTAAGAACAGCTCGCGCTTTTCTTAAATCATAGTCTTCTTCTCTCTCTCTCTCTCTCTCTCTCTCTCTCTCTCTCTCTCTCTCTCTCTCTCTCTCGCCCCGGTTTTGAGTTTCTGCATTCTGGAAAGTTGATGACATTGTTTGCCACCCGGGAAACTACACAAGAGAAAATAGGACAAGGGCACAAATATACATCAGAAAAAGATGGTGTTTCTTTTTTCACATCCTGAGTCAAAACCTCCTGATAAACCCTTGACCTCTCATAGACCACAAATTTTTAATTTCCTGAAAGTTGAAATAAAACATGACCGCGCAGTAATCTGGGCTCAGTGGCCCCAAAGACGCACCGATGGAAAAGATCAGATTGATTCTCCTAGCTGATAAGAGGATAAGCAGGAGCGATGGACACTGCATCACCCAAGAACCAGCATAATAGAAGGAAGAGAGAATGACAGGGACACAGAGAAAGGAAGAGAGAGAGAGAGAGAGAGAGAGAGAGAGAGAGAGAGAGAGAGAGAGAGAGAGAGAGAGAGAGAGAGAGAGAGAGATGACATCAACACAAGCGCCCAGCATAAGCTTGTGCGACATATATATTGTCACACTGTGAATCCGAGCGCAAAGGCGGAAAAGACAAAACAAAAAAGGGAAAGAAGGAAGGAAAGCACCGCCTGTTCATCACCTCTTACGTACAAAGCCAGCCACGTGGATGACAGGTTGAGCGCTGGCTGCCCCCATCCCCGTGTGTCACAAGGACCCACTTGCACGCAGCCAAAAGGCAAAAAAGTGGTAAAGAAAAGGAGGAGGAAACCAAACCTCACAGAGGCAAGAGAAAGAGGAGAAAGTGATTCACTCAAAGAAAGGAAGGACAAGGGAAGAGGAAGGCCTATCAGTCAAACAAAGCAAATGACACATCCCACAGATACACCAATTGCCACTGTCGCAACAAAGTTCACCATTTTTATTTTTTATTTTTTTTTTATTTTTTTTTAATTTTTTTGTTTGTTCTTTTTTTTCTTTTTTTCTTTCTTCTTTCTTCAACTCCATATCTGTTGGTAGTGTCGAAAGCTTTATCTGTCCTACAGTTAGTGTTGCTCCTGACCTGCTTGATTCTATTGACCAATCAGGAAGAGGAGCCCCCAACACGGCAGATAGGACAGCTACGGTGAGGATGATGTGGATGTTCACAAGGATACACAAGGAGAGCTGCGCCAGCACAGCATTCAGCAGGACGGCTAGCACGAACCATCCCATCAAAACAGTGCTGACAGAGGACATCATGATGTTATCCACATGTCAAAAAAACAGCAGGACGTTCATCACAGTGCGGCATCATGCAGTTCTGATAGCGTCCTTGCGCACAAAAGGGACAGCGAATATCTGGGTGATAGGGATGTGCACAATGAGGAAATGTTGGACACCCTTCGGCACAGACGGCGGCGGCCACAATAGATTGATAATGGTGATGTCATAGATGATGAATTCCACAGCCAAGATGCACCGCTCGCTGTCCCCACAGGTCTCAAGGTGTCACACGAGAGTGGGTCAATAATCCAGAATAAAGTATGATTCCGCAATGCACGCAAAAATTCATTTACTGTATGTTGAAAATAGCCTGCCTGAACCATCGTCCCACCATCCCACAGTTCCCACGTGGCAATCCAGAATAAAGTATGATTCGGCAATGCATGCAAACATTCATTTACGTTGAAAATAGCCTGCCTGCCTGAATCATGGTCCCACCATCCCACAGTTCCCACGTGGCAGTTGCACGAATAATGAGTGCGCCATATAATTAATGCCCGGGTCTGTGCAAAATGCAGGCAGAAATACTTATGAGGATGGTAATTAAGGTCATCCATCGCCTGACGTCGCATGATGGATGCATAAGAAGAAGCTGGCGACCATGGAACGCTAACTGTAAGACATTTTTACAGTAAAGCCCTTCACTGAGGTAGAGTATAGTTACTCCCTACCCTCAGGAGGTGGACCATTATGGTTATATATACAACAACTGATTTTCAACAGCGTCAAGCTAATAAGCAATCGTGACAAAATGGGATGCAGTATAACATTGGTGCTGATAAGCCATTGAGGTAGGCAGACATTGATGGCTGTCAAGCCACAAGCATTTGGTAGATCTGCCCGCGGATCCGATTCGGTCACCATTGGAAAGCCAGGCAGGTCTGATCTGGCGGGGTCGGCGCATGAATGACAAACGCCGTCGACGTGGCAGAGCAGGCTGTCGGTAAGACAAAGAACCCGCCGACGTGGCAGATTAGCATCAACACGACGTCGAGAGGAGGGGAACTGGGAGGAGGAGAGAATGAACGAAGCTGCCGACGTCCCAATCTGGACAACGAAAATAAAGGAGGGGCCGATCTCAGCCGTCGCCGGCGTGCAGGGTGTCGGCGAGGCAAAAACGCAAATGAGTTAAAAGAAGGGGAAGAAGAAGACAAACTAGAGGAGGCATATGAAGAAGAAAAAGAAGAAGAAGAAGACGAAGAAAAGGATGATGAAGAAGAAGAAGAAGAAGATATATATCGCCACAGAGAAGTGCCCAGTGAAGCGTGGGCAGAAAGAGAGAAGAGGACAACAAACGAGGGGTTTATCCAATCGCCCCACCCCCTTTAAGACAAATAAAGTGTGCATGTTTCCTTCCAAATTTTTTTATTGTTTTTTTTATTGTTTTTTTTATTGTTTTTTATTTAACTGATCAGAACAGATACTACACTTGATCTTAGCCAAAAGGCCGAGAAAGGTATCTTCCAAAAATTTTATCTCTTAAGAATGTTCGCATTTTCCTTCCAAAATTTATCTTTTATGATATCCTCATGTGTGACAACTAGTTTGAATTTGCACCGTATCACTTCTTCTCCCTTTCTATCCTCCTCCTCCTTCTCCTTCTCCTTCTCCTCCTCCTCCTCCTTCTCCTCCTTCCCCTCTTTCTCCTCCTCTTTCTCCTCCTCCTCCTCCTCCTCCTCCTCCTTCTTCTCCTCCTTCTTCTCCTCCTTTTTCTTCATCACCACCTCCTCCACTCTCTTCCTGTAAACGCAGGACCCTTTCCTGAACATAGCTGGCAGAGAGTTGTAGTTGATTCCGAAATCCTTGAAGAGCAACTCGTTCTTGAAATCGGATAAAGTTCCCTTGAGAATGTTTTGCGCCTCCGTTTTCGATTTCCCAGACCCCACTAGAGTCCAGAAACACGTGTTGTACTGATTGTTGATGTGGCAATCCACCTGTCGCCAGCACAGGTAATCTCGCAGAATCTCATCCGTCGGATAACATACCGCTCGCCCATCGAACGCCGGTGGATATCTCATCTTCACACTCCTAATGTGTGTGTCCCAGTTCATCACATAGCAGGCTGCAAAGTACGACACGATGGTTGAGACGAGTTTACTTGCTCGCCGTTGATACAACGTACTCGTCTTTCGAATCACGAAACTGTACTCGTCACTGACACCATAGGCAAACACGATATCAGGAATCTCTTTCATCACATCCAGAGCGCACGTGTTCATCAAATCCAACGCTCTAGAATCGTTCGGTTTAGCAAATCCATGCTCCTGGGAGTACCTCGTGAAGCCCCGCCCATCGATCCGTATAACAATCCAGCATCCGGGTAGGAGAGTGTCGCTCAGCTCAAACTGCTTCACGTACTCGTATCGACTGTTGGCCATTTCAACAAAAGAACTATTGATGTGATGGGCGATCCCAATTGCCGACCAACCTGTTGGGATCTCACTCGAGAGTTACGTTGCTGTCTCGATACAGATTTACGAAAGCGAAAGTGCAAATCCCCCCAGTGCGAGTATGACCTCAGAAACGCTTTCGCCACATTTTCCCGTCTGAAAGCAAATCCAGTGCAGGCGGCTACGCCTGCACGAATGGAAAAACGAAGAACATATGGGTGCGATATCAGCGACCTACAAGTATATTCTCTCTCTCTCTCTCTCTCTCTCTCTCTCTCTCTCTCTCTCTCTCTCTCTCTCTCTCTCTCTCTCTCTCTCTCTCTCTCTCTCTCTCTNTCTCTCTCTCTCTCTCTCTCTCTCTCTCTCTCTCTCTCTCTCTCTCTCTCTCTCTCTCTCTCTCTCTCTCTCTCTCTCTCTCTCTCTCTTCCTCTCTCAAAACTTGGCATACTCCAACAGGTTGGTCAGCAATTGGGGACAGAGGAGGGAGATGAAAAAGGCAGATCTCGCATGCCATGGACAGGACGTGTATTCTGTGAAAGTAAAGCCTCGCACGTGTTGTCCAATATTGCAAGTGTGTGTGTGTCTCTCTCTCTCTCTCTCTCTCTCTCTCTCTCTCTCTCTCTCTCTAAAAACTTGGCATACGCAGCTCCCGTGGCCCTAACCACGATAGTCTCGAGTGAGATCCCAACAGGTTGGTCGGCAATTGGGGACCGAGGAGGGAGATGAAAAAGGCAGATCTCGCAATCTGAGGGCGGGGTAACCGACGGTCGTGGGAGGGGGAAATCGCGATAGGGGTGGGAAAAGCAGCTGGGGGGGGTATCGGGAGAAAATGTCTACAGATGAGAAGTGAGGGGCAGTAACGTCGTAAGGAAAGATTTGGGACAGGGGTTTAGATCTGAACATGGGAGGCAGAGAGGAAGATCGCAAGAGGAGAGAGGAGGCCGAGGAGCAGAAGGAGGAAAGGACGTAGAGGACGTCCGTGCATTTTGCTACCGTCTTCCCCCGAACATAACGCACCCTAAAAATGAATGTATACAAGCTATATTTCCGCCCAGATACTCCCAAAATAAGGGTGCGTTGTGTTCGGGGGAAGACGGTAGTCTTTTCCCTCCTAAGTTCTTATTCGGGGGAAGACGGTAGTCTTTTCCCTTCTAAGTTCTTACCTAATCTTTCAGGCTGTTTATTACTGTATTGGTTTTTCTTCTAAATTCTTCCCTAATCTTTCAGGCTGCGGCTGCTGGCTGCTGCTAAAAAAAAAAAAAAAAATCTTCCAGGCTGCTGAGAAGATCGAGCGGCCAGCAAAACTTGGCACAAAGCTCTGCTCGCGTGCGCTCAACCAACGATAGCCTCCAGTTAGGTCCGTCCAAAAGAATAGCTGCACGCAATCAGGCGGGATGAGGTTGTGATGAAGGGAGATGGAAAAGGCAGAGCTCACGATCTGTGAATGGGGACGGGGCATGGTCAGGGCGGGCGGAGGTCTCGATGGGCGATGGGGGGGGAGGGATGGAAAAAGCAGGCGGACGGGAACAGGACTGGAAGAGGAAAGTCGTACGAGGATGAGGAAGAGGAGGAGGAGGAAGAGGAGGAGGAGGAGGAGGAAGAGGAGCAGCAGAAGGAGGAAGAAGACGTGGAGAGAGGAAATTGAGGATGCTTTTTATTTAATTAACTTCTTATCTATCCCCTCAGGGCCCTAAGACGATCGAATGGCCAGAAAAAAAAAAAAAAAAAAAAAAAAAAAAAAAAAAAAAAAAAAAAAAAAAAAAAAAACTGCCGTAACCTGCTCTTGTGTGCTGAACCCATCAAAGCAGGGGGATGTCGCGATGGGGGGAAGAGGGATAGGACAGACAGGCGCAGAAATGTGGGACCGGGGGGCGGGGGGGAGGGGGGGAGGGGGGGGGCAAGGAAGGGTGGGGAATGCAATCGAAACATAGGAGACAGAGGAAGATCACAAAAGGAGGAGGAGGAAGAGAAGATCGCGGTCTACTTTTTTTTTCTTTATGGCAGAAAATAAAATGTACATGGCATTAAGTGCCACGGAGGACTTTCTCTGGACTTGGATCTTTTTCTCTGAGTCTTACATATATGACGGCATCCTTTCAGTCACCGATGCTCAGCTTCTGGTGCAGATTTGCATCGTCTCAGCGATTCGGCATGGGGGGGAAGAAGAGAAGGGAGGAGGAGAATGTGGAGGAAAGGACGTAGAGCTCACGAAGCTGAGAACCCCTACCGGTAGATCGTGCTTACCTCTCCTCAGCGCGGCGCTGCTCTGCCACTCCCGGCCTTCGCCGCGCACGCACCCTCCGCCGCTCTCTCTTGGTGGTGTCCTTAGCGCGCAGACGAGCGAACCACCTAACCTGCCGTCACCGCTGGTGCGCTTTGTGGGCAGGTTGGTGGTCAGTCCAGACCGTGTGAACGGGCCAGAAGGGTACAGACCCTGCCGAGCACGGAAGTTCACACTGGGAACGGTAGGGACGGAACCCAGACCCGAAAATCACAACTGGCGGGGCCCGCGCAGGACCCCTGACTCCTTTTTTGCCTTCTCTTTCTACAATTAGGTCTCCTCCTCTTCTCGAGACGCCCCCTTTTTTCTCGAATTCTTCCTGGCACACCCCCCGCTACCTAAATCCTACGTTAGGGCCAGATCCCACTAGCCCCTATTGCTCATTTCTGACCGTGGATCTTCGTAATCGAGGGTGAAAAATGACTAATCCAGGGTAGTGGGATCTCACCCTTAGTGTCTGTCACTCAGGCCCATCACCCCTCTATTTTATGGGATGGCCTGACCGGACAGCGGTTGTGGACACCAGCACTGAACAGGTTATCTCCTTTTTTTTTTTTTTTTTTCATGAGCCACCAGTACCTCCGAGCCTATTTTCGACAAGTCGTGGCCAGCACCCGAACTTTTAGGAGGCCGAGCCTGCCGTTGATAAATCTGATTGGCGGCCGTTGTTTCGTTTCTGCCTCCTGAAAGGTCGGAGGCCGAGTATTTTTGAACCGTCAAAGGTACTGGTGCTTGAAAAGCAGAGGTTGTTGTAGAGGCCAGATTCCCACCTATAGCGGGCACTGTCATAGGAGCGCCGGAACCGGTAAGCTTCCCTAGGGACCGCCCTTCCCTAGGGATCGCCCCCTGGTACTATTCTGACCACGCGGGAACTGACGGCTACCAGGGGGGGTTGTGATATCCTGGTGACGGTATTTCATTACGACTATCCCTACCTTCTTAACCCGTGGAAATCGGGTTTGTGGAATGCACTTGCTTTTCCTCGAATAGAACGTACGTTCGAATATAACATATGTACATTGTATTCGAGTACAACGTACGTATGTTGTATTCAATTTTTTGGAAGTTTGATTTTTCAAAAGTAATCAAAAAAATCCGAAAAAAAATAAATGTTATACAACAATGCAATACAAACAACATTTGCCTGGGGCACGGTCCCACTAGCACCCGAATTAGCCTTAGCTATATCCAGGGCACATGTGTTTTCCGAATTAAGTCAGGACAACATAGTAGTCCGATCCGTTAGGGCTGTCCATTCCACGCAGATCTGACCGCACTGCTTTTTTCATAAATTGTTTGGTTTCCCCCCCCTCCCATTGGCCAGGGATTAAAAAGAGAAAAGAAAATGCATGCGAGGGGCGTCTTCTCTGTAGAGCACATTATTTTTGGGTTGGGGGCGGTCATCTTTCCCTGAAAAATAATTCAGAAAAGTGGAATAAAAAATCAGGAAATTGATAAATATTGTGACCCTGGCGGTTGCCCTGTGAGAATGGGAAGCGCAGTCCTTCCACACCCCTAAGTTCAGCATCAGAGGCTGGCGCAGCACTGTAGTGTATCGGGCGCGTAATACAGCCCCAAACATTTTCAACAAACCTTCCTCTTCGTGCAATGTCAACTGCTCGGACCCAGAAACTGAGCCATGTGGGACCACTAGCAGCATTCCGTCTGCTCCCACATTTTGAATGTATCGGACCAAGGACAGCTCCAGATACATTTTGTATGTTGTGTTGACTCTCTTCCCCCTCTTTTTCATTTTTCTATTTCTAATTATTTATTGGTCTCTTTAATATGGAAAACACATGTGCCCCGGATATAACTTAGGCTAATATGGGTGCTAGTGGGACCGTGCCCCTGAGGGTCTTATCGAAATTCATGAGAAAATTCGAGAAAAAAAATAAAAACGAGGATGAAAATGTTTTTTACTGATTTGTTCAGAATTTCGATTTAAAAAAAAAAACTTAAGTAAAAAATCCGAAAAAAAAGTACGTTGTGCAACATTGCAATGCAAACAACTTTTGCCTGAGGGTCTTGGCGAAATTCCCAACCAAATTTGAGATAAAAATAAAAACAAGGGCGGTACTACAGGCTTCTGAAAAGTTGTAAACTCGTTCTATAACGTACGTGCGTTGTATTCGAATACAACGTATCCCGTATGTTGTATTCGAATACAATGTATCCCGTATGTTGTATTCGAATACAACTTACCCCATACGTTGTATTCGTATACAAGGTACGTACATTTTTTCAGGTTGAGAAGGCAGTCTGGCCCCCCATCCAAGACTTTAAGGCTCCCATCTGTTCACAATCCAACCACACCGAAACCAGTAAGCTTCCCAATGGGACCATCCCAGGTACTATTCCGACTCAATCAGCTAATGGGCACATTGACGTGCAACGAAGGAACTGCTACCCTACCCATCCTCACGACAATTTTCCTACCGTATCCCCTACAACTACTATCCTACCTCAATGAGCAACACTTAGGACAATCACCCTTAGGATGATATCGACCGAACAGTAGTTACAAGCACCAGACTAGAGAGTAACCCCACCAGTCCTAGTGGAAGAGCAATCCTGCAAGCCTTGTCACCCGAGGCTTTCGGTTGCCTAACACACTCATTATCTCTACCAGTCCCACCGACGAACCAGGTTCCAAGTAGGTGTTGCATATCAGTTAGTGCACCCCCCCGTGGCACGTACAACCTAAACCATGAGAACCAGTACCAAGGATCGGTCTCCCCTGCCCGGAAATGTATATATGAATGT